AGCTGGTCTGATCGGGTATAATTCTAATAATTATAATGTGTTGACCTGGCAGCGATAGGATTCGAAGTAATCTAGAACCGAATGCGCAAATCGCACGATCCGATTTATTGTATGATACGATGCAGATGTATGTCCATATATAATTTGTTAATATATATATCGAGAAGTAAATAGATTTTACTAAAGATTTCTGTATGCTGAGCAGCAGGTTTATCTACATATATAATAGATAAGTGTAAACCGAGGTAATATGATAATCGAAGGACGAGAGCAAATTGAATGAGTATTTGTGTGCGCACGCTTTGTAATATAAATTTGTAAGACGCGCGTCACATGTCGTCCAGTTTCTTTTTATTTTTCCGATAATATAAAACTTTATTTATACAAAGAAAACGAATCTCGTCGCAGACAGTGTTGTAATAATTATGCTTACATTATATAGCTCAAGCTAGCCCAATCGATAATTGAAAATCAGAACTCGCCTTTGTGTGCTTGTGTCTCAGCGATATCTAGTAGCTAATTATGTTTCTCGTTGAATTATATATTTTATTTGTAACAAATGATGTCTTTAGACATATTTTCATATAACGTTCGTTAAAACTAAAAGATTCGAATCTTCTTAAAAAGTGATCTTGATTTAATTAATTATTAATTATCATGCCAAATTCTTTCTTGTTGAATATTTAATAGTTTATATTTTCTAAATATTTCTCTGCTCGATACAAAAGTAGGGAACAGATTCTCAACAGCATATCTATATATGGTCAACAATATATACTAATACTGACATGCACAGCCACAGACAAACTGAAATTAATCAAATGAGCTTGTTCATGCATACAACTGATGTAATTTATTATACTTATCTTCTCGTACAGGTTGTCGTAAAAAAGTTGGATGCTGTTTTAAAGGTTGTGCTTAACAGAACAAGGAGAGCAATTTACACAAAGCGGGCCTCCTAAATTGCATAATGTTATGATCTTCGCGTTTTTACAATCATCATTACAATTCGCTATTGTATTCACTTTTACCATCACAACATTCCCTTTAAACAGCTTCCAAATCCTTTCCGCGATACTCGACGCGCGTAAGCTGAGCTCGGAAGTTCATGTGCGTATTTTCGCGATGGAGCCTAAGCGCGGTTGTAATCCAAAGTCAAGTCTCAGATGCATACAGTGGAAAATAAATATTCGATGTGTCTCCCTTTATGCTTGATCAGCTAACATTTCGTACACGCTTGTCACACAGCGTCACTGCCCGAGATTAAGTAGCGGGGCATTTGATATTTCCCCCGTATAACACCGTATTTCACAGTCGTCGTGACTTCATACATCTCGGCATGAAGAATTCTATAGAAGGATGTATATTCAGTTCGCCAGGAAACTTCTCGTGTCCCTTTCGCGAGGCTTCGCCTCTTACTCTTGTGTACTCATTCGGTGGTTCTGCAAAATATCGTCCGGGTGATCCTATTTTTCTGGCAAACGCCCCGGTACGTTGTACAATCTTATATGAAAAACCGGATGCGAGTTTGTATTCGAGCAGCGAGCAACAATATACACTTGGTATACTATAAATAGATAGCATAATAAAAAGTAAGAATATAATAAATGAATGGACCTGTACAGAAGTCTATTGTATTTATTATTATTGGTAACTCACGTTTACGCACTTTCGATTCTCGTCAATATAAATAAATTATTTTAAATGAAAAACGAAGCTGAATGTTTTGCGTATTACGAGAATTACCAACATTCCTCTTGTAATTTTAATCTACTGAAATGGCAGAATAAATGTAGGTAAAATTAATCATATATTGGAACATAATTAAATTAATATCTATCTGAACAGTATTAGAAAACAAAAGTGCAAAATTTTTATGAAAATCTTTTGCAAATTTTTGGTCTTATACGTTTGTATCGTATTATAAGTATAAAGTAATACTCACTTTATTACAGCAGTATGTCTAAATAATTGTAGTTAAGAGATTTTTCCGTTTTATGACATTTGATTTCTTTCCTTGATTATGATACAAATATCAGGTTGAGTAAAAAGTCATCGCGTATTTTTTAGCTCAAAGTTGTATATACAATATCTTCGTCAATAATGAATGAAATTCAAATTTAAAAAAAGGGTTTTAAAGCTTGAAATCTCTACTTTTAAAAGCTTATCACATTTTTTAAGATATTCTTTATTTATACTGTAAGCAACCTGTTCACTTTACAAGATATATTCA